ATAACTTCATTTTACATGTCAAAGGAAGTTAGCATTCATGTACAAGGTATCGGAAATCGTTATCGGGTGCAATATTCTGTAGGGCTCACCCGGAACGTTCAAAGTGTATGTCATATTTACAACTTTACAAGATATTAATAGTTTTGATAAAGTTAATTTATCTGTTTAGTCATTTTAAACGAGCTGTACTATCCTAGGGTATCTGGATGGGTGGTCTTCATTTCTTTACCCTTAAAATTTTAGGCCATTTATCTGCATTCATTATTCTTTGTCCATTATTCTCCTTTCTTTATTTCTTTCTCTTTTTCTCGATTCTTAATTTTTGAACTTTATTTTTCCTTCTATAAACCTCTTCAAGACCCTCATACAAGCAATTCTTGTTGATAAATAGAGATATATGATTTACGTGTGTGTTTGTAACGTATTATAAGTGTTTGCCATTCCAAAACATATTCGAAACCTGTAGAAAATGCGGCAACTCAATACATTTTTTACAACTAGTTTTCAGAGCTAATCATACTTTAAGTTTATTGTCATTATTTCGTCCTTGATAAAATGAAATATTTGCCTTTCAAAGTTGGGTAAACATTGATTGATACAAATAAAAGAATACATCGACCGGAAGTGGAGCACATATTTGTGGATATATATTAGGGTCGGGATTGGGAGTCTTAATTTCTGTATTCTCATTGAAATTTTTCTCAATTTTTTTTGTATACCCTCTGCAAAAAACGTTTGGGGGTATATAGAAATCACCTTGTCCGTCTGTCTGTCAGTCCATCCGTCCGTCCGTCTGTCCGTCCAGCTTCGTGTCCGGCGCATAACTTTTGTACCATTGGACTAATGTTGATCGAACTTGATATGCAGATGCATCATGTGAGTGTGTCATAACCAAAATCGGGTAACTTTGACCTTGACTTTGACATTTGACCGCTATTAAAGTAAATCATTGTCCAATTCGTGTCCGGCTCATAACTTTTGTTTAGTAAAACTTAGGATACCAAAATTGGTATTCAGTCGCATCATGGACTTGGGGGTGTCATAATTTATACCAAACTCAGGTCACTTTGATTTTGACTTTGACCTTTGACCCCTATGATAGTAAAACCTTGTCTGATTTGTGTCCTATGCATACCTTTTGTACCGTACAACTTAGGTTAACTAAACTTAGTATGCATCATGGGGTTGGGTGTGTCATACATCAAAGTAAGGTCAATCTGACCTTGACCTTTGACCGTTATGATATTAAACATTGTCTGATTTGTGTTCAAGGCATAACGTTTGTTCCAATGCTCTTAGATTGACAATTCGTTGTACACAGAAGCATCATGGTATCAAGATGTGTCAAATACCAAAAGCAGGTCATTCTGAATTTGACCCTATGCCAAAAGCCAATAACATCAAAATGTCATTGTTTCAATACGGAGTTTTAAAACAGCAACTAGAATGCACGTACGAGGTATTAGTCTCGCTTTGCGAACAGATCTAGTTAATATTTGTTTTACTCATTATTTCATTTTCTTGATATTTAAGCATTCCATTGTTCTCTGTTCTTGAAATTTTTTCATTTTGCCCATTATTCTCTCTTCTGTAAACCCCATCCAGACCCTCATGTATTTTGTCACGACTTAGGGATAAACCTATTGTGATAAAAGCGTGATTTAATTAAGGATGTACTTAGGTCAGGTTTAGGAATTTTTGTCCGATGTTCGGACTCCTTAGTTTTTTTCCTACGATACAGGGTAAAATATTTTGCCCCATAACACCCATTTTTTTTTCATATATATAAGACTTCAATAGCTCATAAATAGTCATTTACCAAAATTTAAGCAGATTCTAGATTTCTTTTCTTTCGATTTTGAACCCAAGTAATACCAATGCATACATAAGGTAAAAGTCCGAGTCAGCCTTTTCCTGCCATTTTAAAAAAAAATAGATATCTCGAAAAGGAACTCGATAACCTATCACTTTTTTTTTAGCTTATTTTGTTCCTTAACTAATGCTCTTCTGACTTATAGTATCAATTTTAGATTCTAGATTTTTTTAATTTCACCTAAGTACATCCTTAACAAGTAAGGGGCCTTATCTGAGAGAATATCAACATCTATGAAGACAAATGATAGACCCGTCCTTTAGCTTTTATCTATTCTGATCACTTGGCGTCCTTCGTCCGTCGTCCATTAACTTTAACAAAACTGTTCTCTGATTGTTAGGCAGCTATCATAGGTTTAATTTATTTCGTTTGAAGATATGACACCAACAATTTACGTGACATCAGTCAAGGTACAAACGTAAAAACCTAGGATAAGATAAGATAAGATAAGATAAGATATTTTATTGGTTTAAAATCCAATATAACAGGATTTTTACCAAAGACAATAAACATTGGCTATACATAAACATACAAACACATATCTGTCCACATTTATAAACATTGTATATGTAAATTTATATATCCCCTCCATTATAAAGAAAAGGAAATATTGATACATTAATATATATAAACTTATCTCCGCTGAGGAGATGGTACTACAAAGTTAATTATTACTTAATAAAGCATTTCTAGAATTATTCATGTCACTAATGAATTTTACAATAATTCTAATTTTATCATTCTCACCACATATATACAAAAATATTTTATCTTCATAAGCCATATTTAAAAAAAAAAAAAGGGAACTATTTCATTAATTTTAGAAAATAATTGTTCTCTAATTGTTTTTAGTTTTGTACATTTCATAATGCAATGAAATTCCTCTTCTACTTCTAAAAGACACAAGGGACACGTTCTTTCTTGTAAAGGAGTTTTAGTATGCAGGATATGAAAACAGTCAACATTTCATGAACTCCATATCAATAAACTCATCATATATACCAGGATAAAACATTAATTTTGTACGCCAGACGTGCTTTCAGTGATAATATGTGTGTTGACCGGGTGAGCATCATTATTCAGCTCTGCCAACATCATTTGTCACGTGATTTCAAAATGACGTAAACAGCAGGAGTCCCAAATAAGGAACAAGGGAGTGGGGTTGGGCACTCCAATCCTTCTATGGTAGGAATGATCAACTGAGACATCCAGTACCCCATTCTGTTAATATATTTTAAATAACAAAAGTACTTACCCTATCAAATATGTTTGGATAAAAAAATATAACTACGGTGATCACAAATATGCTATTTTGTGTAGTCTCAGAGATAAATGGCTTTGACAAAAATCTGATACTTTAAATTGTATCTATGAAAAATATCGAAATCTGATTAATTTCAGATACTAGTGATTTGTTCTGCAATCTAATTGTATATGTCATCTTATTTTTTCGACCGCAAAAAATATTAACAAGCGACCTAGCTGTTACAGCGGCTCATCCCTACCATTTGTAGAAAGTGCCCCCTATCCCTCCTCCCTGGAGCAAGAAACATCACGTGATTTCAAATTTGTTTGCAATTTATTTCATTTATTTTTATAATTAAAATTTGCTATCGATATTTTGGTGTTTAGAAATAAGATGATGTTTCATGATTGCAAATGAGACTAATCTGAAGTGGGTGTAAGCAACTATAGGTTATCGTACGGCTTACAAAAACAAGCAAAATTAACACCGTGAAGTAAAATTCAACATGACTAATTAAAAAAATTCAAACAAGAAAACCATAGGCATAATTTGAGATAAACTATTAACGAAAGTTGAATATGACAGACAGCAATCAACGACAACTACTGAATTACAGGCTCCTGACTTTGGACATGCACACAAAGAATATGGCGGAGTTAAATATATTTGCGACCAGACCCTAACTTGGAACACGCAGTGATGCAACAGCACAACATAAGAACAAACTGTTAAAATCCGTTTGAAAGAACTTGACTCGTCAGATCGACACGAAGCAAAATAAATAATGAAAAAACAAAAAAAGAATACAAAAAGATGCAAAGTACCGATCTGAGAATACTCGAGTACTGCAATCTAGTTGAAAGCCAATTACAACTAATAAATAAATAATGTTTTCCCAAAAATTCCAATTAATAAACATCCAACAGATTAAGTGTAAAGCCATCGTAACCAATCTGAGAAAATTAGAGGTTGTGCATTGCCAAATTGTTACATGTAGTAACGACAGATGTTGGACTATAACAGTCTTAACTATATATCAATATATATTTTAAATCTATGTTTTTATTCATTCATAACAAAATAAATGTAAGTTCCGATAAAGACAATATTCATCGTGTGTTGTGTCAGTTATTCTTTCATTTTTTATATGATTGTCGTTTACATGTATTTTGACCTCTCTTTTTATTGATAGAAATAAGTGTTGAACACTCCATTGAATGGAATGATTTTGTCATCTTATATTACATTCTTCTTTCCAAGTTCAAGTTTGTTTTTCATGTCATTATTTGATAATTCATTTTTTAAATCGAGAGTTTATGTATTACTAAATAAATGTAATTCTGTATAAATTTTGGCGCGTTTGAAGCGCTTTTCTGAATTAACATTCACCAGGAACGCTCAAAACCCAAACAATCCAAGAATTGTTTAACTTTTGTCATTTTGGGGCCTTTTATATAGATTACTATGCGGTATGTGTTTTGCTGATTGTTGAAGGCCGTACGATGACCTATAGTTGTTAACTTCAATGTCATTTGATCTCTGTTGGAAAGTTGTCTCATTGACAATCATACCGTAACACATCTTCTTATCTTCATATTGGCAATAATGGGGTAGATTTGGAGATCATTTTAGGTCCGTTTTAGTCATTAGAGAAATAAGGAGATGAGCTGTGACTAATAAAGCAACAGTAGATGTGAAAGCAATTACATGCCACAGGCCTTCAACAATGATCAAAATCTATACAAGATATCTCCTCAAGTATCCCTTGCTTTCAAATATTTTGGTTTGAACGTCAACAGACTATATAGACTACTTTGCCACCGAGGCCCCCACTTTGAATGTTTAAATTATCATCAGTGCCAACAACAATAACAGAACACATTATGTTTAAATTCCATAACCATTTTATTTAAACGTGTATTAAGTTTCTTCTTGTCAACAGATGTCCCTGAGCCTGAAAATATAAAATAATTATAAAGCATTAAAGTTCAATAATCAATTTTACAATACAACATCACAAACTATAATCTTGCCTTATCTATTTTTAGTTAAGTTAATTGAAGGATAATAAAACATTACGCAGAATGCTCAAAATTCGGCAACACGATCCCCACCAAAAATCAGAGGTGAACACCGGTAAGGTAGTTAACTCCTGCTCCACCAGTGACATCCGTCGTACAAGTATCGAGCGATTTGATTTATTGAACGATTTATAATTTTGTGATTCCGAAGATGTGAACAAACAAGGTGAAAGTTCTCATTTTCATTAACTTCAAATTTAAGTAGACTTATTATAACCAAGACCGTAATATTTTAAATTTCACGACAAAAACTTTTATCAGCTGATTTTGTTCCATGTAAAATATATGATTAACGCAATCATATACCAACAAAATAGTGTTATTTACACCAATCACATTACAAGATTCTGGCTTCATAAAGCATAGTGTTATTTACACCAATCACATTGCAAGATTCTGGCTTCATAAGAAATAGTGTTATTTACCCATACCGAAAATTATGTACGCTCACATTTTATATATAACGATACAGTCAGAAAATAATGCAAAAATTACACTTTAAAACATTTTTCTTTATCGACTCAATAGATTTAAAGTATATTGACTGAGGACGCTTTATTAGCTTCCTTGTTGTATATTATGTCTAATTTGGTTTTGTGGTAGTTAGTCATGCAATGTTGTTGGCTATTTCGTTTATGTCCATTTTGGTCAAATAGATCATCACGAATACAACTCTTCATATATCGTTGGGTTTCAAATATTTGAGTTTGATCGCTCAAGATGAAGTTACAAACAGAAACACGCTTCGAATGCATACTATAAAGTGTTATTTTTATTTCTTGAATTAGCAACTTTTCATTAAGAGCATACGATACAGTTACAGGGGAGGTAACGACGTTGCCAACGTAAAATGTTATTTTTCGCGACGTCAAACTGCGACATATCGGGAAAAGATGCATTTTTCGACTTATTTTTATCATTCAGACTGATATAACTTGAAAACGAGTTCATGGACCCCTCTTTCTTAATATGAGATTAGGATTGATTACATATGAACATTATTTGTACCATTTTTTATGAAAAAGTCACCGATGAGATTTTTTAAAATTAGATAAGTATACAGCAAAAAATATCGTTTTTTTCCTAAAATCCTGAAACTTTGATAAAAATTAATTATTTCCAAAGAATTGTTATGAAAATTTAGAGCATACTTATGTAAAAGAGATTTTCCAAATGTTTTTACAAAAATCCTATTGTGTTTATCTTTTGAAACAAAAATGATAGGTATGTCTATCCAAAGGATAGAAATGTTCCAAAAAACGAAATTTTGAGTAAATGTCTAAAATTTCGACCCCATTTATCTCTTACAGGGAAACTTCGCAAAAAAATGAAAAATTGATATTATGTCCATTCTGTATAAGAAATCTCAAATTCATAAATATTAAAGTTTTATTCTGCTAGATAAGAGATCACCATCGATTTTAAATTTAGAGTATCAATTCTCTGCGTGCGGCCATTTTGACATCTTTTCGGTTTAGAAACCACGATATATCTATAAACCACAAAGGACCAAAACCAACAGTAACCTAATGTAGTCGTAATTGCGTGTCGATATCTTGTCAATCGTACGGTTGTTTTATCCGACTAACAAACTTGATACGGAAAATGTAATTATTTTTTAAATAACCATGGTCTGTCGTTTTTAAACTGTTTATATGGGAATTAGTTAAAAAGTCAAAGTTCAAAGTCATAAATAAGTGTTCCGTGTAAAATTGTTTTCGAAAATCTAATTTGTTCATAATTTTTTTATGTAATAAACTTATTTAAATAAATTTTGGACCTTCCCTTATCTGATCACCAGCATGGCTAAAGGTATTACTCCCAAAGGTATTGTGAGGTGACACGTCCAGGTATTCAAGCGATTTCCTGTCGGGCTTGCAAGTTCATGCATCATTTCACTTCTGAGGGTATTGATCAGTGTACACGGCCGATAACTTGTAACTTTCCATCTTGAACTATCAGGTGTATAATATACATCTTTGTCTTGCGTGTCCGATAGTGATATACTAGTCACTAAACTAAACTCATACGCTTATTTATAAATAACATTTCTGGTGTAAAGAATATTATTTATGAAAATCTAAATAATTCCAATAAAAGATTTGATAAAATAAAAATCTATTTACATATTTTTTCCAAGGGTAAATTGGGGAAAATGTAAGTATATACTCGTTGTCAATAATGAAGGACATTTTGAAACATACAAGAAATATTGATTTAACAAAAATGTACGCACTTGTCGATCATTGGTTTATACGCCTGGATAGAAAGTTACGGAACTATAGATAGTCGCAATTTAAATTATATATACATGTATATTGAATATAAGAAAGAAACATACATTTTGTTTAAATTGGGGTAAAAAATTTGTAAATAGTCCACGTATGCGAACAGTATGTAATCATCGGATGTCGATGGAATATTGTATACCAAAAGAAGAAGAAGAAGAATCAATTAGATTGTTCTCGAACAGTTGAAGAAATTCGTCATCATCACAATTGTTGGGTATAATGTATAATAATGTGAACATGGTTCTGAAAGTACCTTATGCCAAATTTCCTGTTCCGACATGCATGTAATATATATGCCACTGGACGTGCACTAATGATCCCCAAAAAGTCTATTTGAAGAAATAAAGAAACTTCACTTCGGATAGACTGATAGTATTTGTACAAAAATGTATTAACGAATATCGTATTAACGTCTGATCAGCTAGAGGGTTGATTAATTTATTACGTTAGATTGTTGGTGAATAAGCCATTCCCAATATTGCACTTATGCATAAAATATTAAATAAGAGTAACATGAGAAAAAATATAAATACGAAAAGTCGCATATCTGGTAAAAAAAAGTCTCACTATCTATAGGATTTCACGTACAATTGCCATTCTTAATAGAAATAACGGACAGTCATTATAATACATGAATGACGGTACGCTTTGATAAAAAGGGGTGCCGCATATTATTCATCATCAATCTATTTTTTTCAAGTTTATACTTTCCTGTTATTCTTATCAGTTAACGCAGAGACATGTCACTATGCATCTCTAGTTAACAACATCAACTATATAAATATCTGAATCTGATGTGACTTACCGTTCATCTCTTGCTTTTTTTTTTTCCTCTTTTTTTTTTTATTTGGGCATGATTTGGGCATGCAGGAACATTAACATTGTTAGATATACTTGTCTAATGGTTCCCAGGTTGTTGTTTTTTTTTGGGGGGGGAGGTGGCGTGTTGGAGGTCAAGTCTATCGAAAGTTACAAAATAAGAGCGTTTTATTTATAAGAATTTACAAGACGAATTATTTTCTTTGACGTAGGTTTTTAGTTCAGTGATTTAAATTGAGAAAATATCTAGTCAGAATTTAAATCGTTCCGGCAATCCACCATGTAAGACTCCTCTAAAATCGTGAATTGTCATGCTTCACAATCATCAGAATTTTCTTTGCATTGGTACATTCTGTATCGGTAGTGATTAACCATGACATTTCCGGATATAACAGAGCTACTTGTATATTACCTGCATGTGGTTAGGTGTCGTCCTATGAGGTCTTACGTATACAGTTTCACATTTATAGTGGTTTCTGATATAACAAAGTTTTATGACATTAATTCACACTTCTGCATGTTCAGTATACCACATTTTTATCTTATTTTCAGACCGAAAGGGGATGTGAATATTTTTCAGGAAAAATATTCAGTATCAAAGTATCAAATTAATTTCGGGATTTTTTTTCTTTCTTGGTATTAAATAACAGAAATTTAAAGAATAAACTGCTTTTCTGCTTTGAGGTATTCTTGCCAGTTAAAACAGACTAATAATTATATGTGTATATATGTCTCTGGTATAGACATGGTTTATGAATGAATTATAAGTCTTGCAAAAGTACAAGATATAAAGCACATTGAAAATTTATTCCGCCGGTCTGTCTCCATTCAAAAATAGGGAAAGTTGACATTAAATTGGTTCTGTCTTTTTTTTTTAAACATCGTTGGTCAAATAGCTAAAGTATTATACGTTGTGAGACTTAGAATATTTTAATAAGGACATTCCCGATTATGTATATTTTTTTTTTTATGTTTTTCATACCTGAAAAGAATATTTGTTCGTAATTATTCGATTCCATTCCAAGAAGGACCTTAAATTTCCTGTCAAATTTTTAAACATCTTTTTTTCAAATAGCTGAAGTATTTACGAGTTGTGAGATTTAAAATATATTGATGAGAACATTAATTCCTGAATATGTAAATAAAGATCGCTTTGGATGGACCAAATTATATAATTGCAATTGGTAATGATCTATTTCAAATATTCAAGGTTACCGATTCTAATTGGAAATAGTACAATTTTTAGTTCATACACTCGTGTTTAGAAGGCTATTATTATTTATAAATTTATTCAATTAAATTAATTCAGTATTTCATGGTTACAAAAATAGTCAGCGGTCATAATTCATTTAAAACTGAGCTTACGCAAAATATAAAAATATACAACGGCTATCCAGTTATTGTGCCACCTTATTACTCCCCTAAATTAATTTTAATTCTTTTTTATATTTTCTGTGTCTAAAACTATCACTCCCGTTTATCATTCATACGAAATGTTGTTCACACCTGGAACGGTGAAACGTGACGGCTAAAATTCACTGAGTGAAGATCAAAAGATTAGAATTCCAGAATGCTAATCTTTTAATTACCTTGAGTTTAACCAGAGACATGTGTATATATGTCTCTGGTTTAACCACGCATTCAACATTCACTAAGTGTCACAGAACAATACACATAGTATTTACACAGTACAAGCAGGAAATGTTTGCAAGACTGAAGCAAAAAGGACAGAATACAAACATGTATTTTTAATACACTATCAATCATGTCAGTTTCATATGTTTGTTTAAGGTATTTGTCGGGAAAAAAAATCATAAAAATTTTCTTTTATATGATTTACTTTTATTACTAAAATTCGTATCAAAAATCCTTAAAACATAAATCCTACAATTTAATTTTAAAAGTTGCACGGCTATCACTTTACTTTCTTTATTTTTAGTTGGTTAATAGCTACACCAAAAGTCGTCGACGCGCTTTAAATCGCGTTATTAGATGGTTAACGAACAAGACTTAAATGAGATTAATTCAACTCCCGGCATGCAAAAAGACTTAAACTACGTCACAGAAGTCAGGAAGTTCGAAAAGATAAAATTAATAATTCCCAATTTTCTTCTTTATTAGTTTTCATATCCAAATAAAACTTGGTGAATATGTTTTTTATGGTATTATGAACATAATAAGATGATAAGTGAAAAATCGCGAATTTTCCCTTTAAAGTAGCACATGAAGGTATATTTTTTATTACATATTTACATTGACTGGGTGAAAAATAGCTTCTATGCTAATTTTTGTAAAAAAATCACCGTGGGATCAAAACTGTTACGTATGCCCTTAAGTGTAGTGACTTTACGTTACACTTCAACAAAACTGTCAAGCATTTGTGAAAAGCAACAAGAATTGACGCTCTTACCTCATTTGTAAATACCACAAATTAAAATAAGAGTCTTACTTTTATTATCACTGGGCTTGGTTCTGAGTGTTGTTAAGTCGTTGCATAATGTACTGTAAGAACAGGATGGTAACTATAAATCCTGTAAAAAAAGAAGTACAAAATCTCATCAAAAATACAAAGCTTATAATAGTGTTACGACAGACGCGCGTTTCGTCTATATAAGATTATCACGTCTATATAAGATTATCACGTCTTTATAAGATTATCAGTAGCGCTCGAATTAAAAAATTGGATGATCAAAATAAAAAACGAAGTTGAAGAGCATTGCAAGCCAAACATTTCAAATAATTCTTGTTAACTGACATAGGAAAATGATACTTGCATGTAGAAAAATATCTTCTTCACAATATTGAAAAAGAAATAAAATGTTCCGTTTGAACATCATTCTTGATGTAAAGATTTAGAACTGTTGTTCATGAATCACGAGCATTTTTACGATTAAGAAATTTTGTAAACAGGACAGCTGATATGTAAAATTGACTAGTTGTCTAAGTTTCTTCCGCCTCTTCTTTTCATCAAATGTCGAATAACGTTTATAAATGCGAGTTAAGCAATTTTCCAATAAGGGTTCATCACGTATGAAACGTATGCGATACTGTGTATACAGAGAATAGGGTTAGTAAAGCTGAGGCAATAGAATACTTGTTCATATTATCACGACTTTTGACTTCGGAGTTTATTTTTTTTGACAGGTTACAAACTTTGTCGTGAGACATTCTTGTACTCGGTCAGGTAAGAGCATCTTAAAGAAGTAAAATCAAGTTCCAAACGGTATAATTTATATGTTTGATTTTACTTTTTGACCGATTAACAAGATGTCCTACCACAGAGTAAGTAACCTGTCGACAAATTATATAATCCGGAGTCAGAAGTCGATAATATGAAAATAGTCTATTTAATGTATAAAAAATTTGAGATTGAGCAACACAAAGCCCACAAATTAGATGCTAAACTTAATAACTATAAAAGGGTGGGAAGTTTTTATACTTTAACACTAGCACTAATAATATTGACATACGAGTATAAGTAATATTCTCTTATGATATCATGCTGGCAGCATTGTGAATGTTTGTATATCATGGTTTTAATACATGCATGCTAACTGAAAAAGTAAGATAAACAGGTATAAAATAGTAATTCAAATGATTTTCTCAAGAGTCTTACCGAATATGCCATTGCCTCCAAAACCAAGTAAACCATTGTTTTGAGTGCCTTGATTTCTCACAACAAGAACTCTATTGCCTGCATGAGAATGCCGAGATGCAACCGGAACCGGAAGTGGATAAGGGTGCGGCACTATCATTTGGCTGTAAACACCTGATGCGTATTTATTATATCCTTGACCATATCCACCTGGTGTGTATCTATTATATCCTTGAGAACTATATCCACCATAATTACTATAACTGTTTGCATTTCTGTTGAATGTTCCAGCGTTGTTAGAACCGACATAACTTCCGGTGTATTGGTAGTTATTTCCGTAGTTAAAGCCGTTTCCATAGTTACCACCATATGCCATAGAAACGAACATGAGTACAAGGATAGCTTGCGTTTTTACCATGTTGTCTTTGAATAATTATGAGTTGAAAGACTGTAGTGTGTTGTGTGGCTTTTTCTGCAATTTCATATTAAGAAAACAATGACTAAGAATTTAAATCGAAATTAACCTAGAGCAAAGTTAACTGCTCAATCAGGTCTAATAAATTTATTAAAACCAACCTTTTGCAAAAACTTGAGTTAAAGTTTGACAGTTGCACTTTAATTGTTTAGAATGTCAGTCAAATAGATTTGCCCCCTTTTATCATTATCGAATACACCAGTGACCTTATCGCTATACATCAAAAAGGTTCCCCTAAAATTTTGACGTCATAATGGAAAATGGCTGACGCCACAAAGGAAAAGTGATTGTTGTATGACGTAAATAGTTCAAGTGGCGCAGATTCTCGGGTCAAGTGTCGCAGATTCCCAAATAGCGATAAGGACTATTAATGCGGTGTGTTATCGAACGCGGGAACGACATTAATAGATAATCACAGTTTATCGGGGATAATGATAATGTATCGGTCGATCACTGTTTTTAAATATCTACCCTTATGTTTTTTCATATGTTCTGTTTCAGCATTTTTCATTCCTTTATCCACACCAAAGATATATGTATATTTGCTTATAAGAAATCAAAATAATTATCTCAGTGAATCGTCTCATTTTTTTTTTGTAGTGGAAAGAATATGGAAACAGCATGTATACCCACACGACTGTGTAAATTTCCCATTGTACATTTTAACACGTGAACAAAAAATAAAGCATGTGACTTATGCTTCACAGGTTAAATGTTAAAGTTAACAAATCAAACTTAATTTTTAGTCTAAAGAAATTTTGAAATTAATTCAGACCAATAGTCAGGATATTATGTCTTTTACAAAATATCTTACCTTTGGCTACCGAGTGTTTGAGGTCGAAACCATCTACAACCCGGTATTTATAATTCTGTATAGGAAATGTGGTCAATGACGTAATTGATACTGGTCTGAAATGATCGGAAACTGCACCGGGAAACATGACTTGTTAAACGTGTCTCCTGGCAAAATTATCAAATGGAAATGACATAATCATTATATTGAGTGTAAAATGTCAAACTAGAAAAAAGTAGAATAATTTGATTTATAGCTGTAAAAGTACAAAAATGTAGATGCAAATTTAGGATATTGAAAAAAGGGGGGGCAGGGCCCCCAAACTAGACAAAGTTTAGAGTGGAAGAGGTAAAATGTCTTTATTAACCATAAATGAAGCTCCCATCCGTAAATGGGAATGACATAATCATTATTTTGGGTGTGAAATGCCATTAAAATTAGAAAAAAACAGAATCATTTGATTTCTGTAAATGAAGATGCGGATTTAGGATATTAAAAAGGGGGGGGGTGGGGGGGGGGCAATAGGCCCCCAAACTAGACAAAGTTTGGAGTGAAATGGGTAAAATGTCTGAATTAACCATAAATGAAGCTACAAAAGGGGGCCCGTGCACCCCATCCCTCCCTAAATCTGCCTCTGAAAAGTTTAACTTTCTGTTCTTTTTTGTCTAATAAGAAAAAGCATTTGAAGTGAAGAACATTAAACTGATTGCTTAAAAAGATCCACCTTTTCAATTAAATTTTAATTGTTGTGATTACATGTAAAAATATGAATGCACCTTTTATCACGATTCTACATAAATGTGTACATCAGAAGAATACGTTCCTTCAAGATAGAGTATTTCTTACATTTTGCAATTCTGGTCATTTTAAGGATTGACAGTCGCAATCACCAATTGGCCCTAAGGCATATAATTTTATCTTCAGTGCTAACATTATTTTATCGATTTTGACCTAAACAATTACCCCGTTCATGTTATAGTTTGAACCAATTGTTATATCGCTTCAGCCTCGGTTGTATCATGATAGCGAGCTAACATTGGGTGCGTGAGGTCGAAGGTTCGTTCCCAGCCCGGGTCAAATAAAAGATTTGAAAGGTGGTATATGCTGCTTTCTCCATGAGCACGCGGACCTGAAGAGTAAGAGCAAAGTCTGGTTGGCTCACAGTCCAATAAATATGTCCGGGTAGGGTGACATATCTTCCTACGGACTGTTACATGTTTTTTACTTTGTAAACAAGCGCGTTAGAAAATCCGACTCAGCGCATCGGGCTAGTTTATAAAGCAGGGTTTCATTTTGCTTAGTTTCTTCTGTTACCTATTCTGACATCGGACTCGGACTTCTTTTATAAAACTTAGTTTTTGCTGTGCGTATTGCTGTGTTATTGTTTATTTTACATTGGCTAGAGGTATAGGGGGAGGGTTGAGATCTCACAAAACAGGTTTAACCCCGCCGCATTTTGCGCCTGTCCCAAGTCAGGAGCCTCTGGCCTTTGTTAGTCTTGTATGTTTTTTTAATTTAAGTTCATTTATATGTTTCGGAGTTTAGTGTGACGTCCATTTTCACTGAACTTGTACACATTTTTGTTTAGGGGGCAGTTACCCGGAGGCGGGCTTTTCTCGTTGTGTTGAAGACCCATTGGTGGCCTTGGGCTGTTTTCTGCTCTTTTGTCGGGTTGTTGTCTATTTGACACATTCCCCTTTTCCATTCTCAATTTTATTTCATGTTCATATCATATTAAATAAAATTGAGAATGGAAATGGGGAATGTGTCAAAGAGACAACAACCCGACCATAGAACAGACAACAGCAGAAGGTCACCAACAGGTCTTCAATGCAGCGAGAAATTCCCGCACCCGGAGGCGTCCTTCAGCTGGCCCCTAAACAAATATATATACTAGTTCAGTGATAATGAACGCCATACTAAACTCCAAATTGTACACAAGAAACTAAAATTAAAAATAATACAAGACTAACAAAGGCTAGAGGCTCCTGACTTGGGACAGGCGCAAAAATGCGGCGGGGTTAAACATGTTTATGAGATCTCAACCCTCCCCCTATACCTCTAGCCAATGTAGAAAAGTAAACGCATAACAATACGCACATTAAAATTCAGTTCAAGAGAAGTCCGAGTCTGATGTCAGAAGATGTAACCAAAGAAAATAAACAAAATGACAATAATACATAAATAACAACATACTACTAGCAGTTAACTGACATGCCAGCTCCAGACTTCAATTAAACTGATTGAAAGATTATGTCTTCATCATATGAATATCAGGCACAATCCTTCCCGTTAGGGGTTTAGTATCATACCATCATAACATATATGAGAAGAACATAACCCGTGTCATGCCAACAACTGGTTTTTAAATAAATGTGTTTAGTGCCGATGCAAAGACCCTATAAGTGAATCAATATTAACGCCAAAATATGCAATCTTTAATGACCTGACAACAGTATCGTAACTATATCCCTTCTTAATAAGTCTATTTAAAGGTTTTGTTAGCTTCAGAGGTGAATACTGACATTTTTGTGCTTTATAAAGAATATTTCCATAAAAAATTGGATGTGAAATACCTGAACGTATAAGAAGTCTGCATGTTGAGCTATATTTACGAATGATGTCCTTATACCGATGATAAAATTTAGTAAATGTTTTGACTAGTTTGTGATATCGAAAACCCTGGTGTAATAATTTTTCAGTAATACATAAATTTCTCTCGTTAAAATCTAAAATTTTTTTACATACACGAGCGAATCGTACAAGTTGAGATATATAAACACCGTAAGATGGTGACAAGGGAACGTCACCATCTAAAAATGGATAATTAACGATAGTAAATGAAAAATCATCTCTTTTATCATATATTTTAGTATTAAGCTTTCCGTTAATGATAAAGATATCAAGATCGAGGAAAGGGCAGTGGTCATTGTTAGTATTAGCTTTATTTAAAGTAAGTTCAACAGGATAAATTTCTTTAGTATACACACTGAAGTCGTCATTATTGAGAGCCAAAATGTCATCCAAATATCTAAAAGTATTATTAAATTTGTGTATCAGATGTTGTTTCGATGGGTCTTTGCTGATTTTTGTCATAAATTGTAACTCATAGCAATACAAAAAAAAGGTCTGCAATAAGTGGTGCACAGTTAGTTCCCATTGGAATTCCGATAACCTGACGATATACGGAATCTCCAAAGCGAACAAAAATGTTATCTAGTAAAAATTCAAGGGCATATATAGTATCAAAGCATGTCCAATTGACATAGTTTTTTTGTTTATTGCTACTAAAAAATGACCTAAAAGAGTTTGAACATATATATTCACATTCTGACTTTTTAAATGCCCATTTAATTAGGTGTGTGAATTTTTTCTTAATGAGAATGTGAGGCAATGTGGTATATAGGGTAGAAAAATCAAAACTTTGAACAGATTCAAAATCACCAATATATGCATGTAATTTATCAAGTACTTCCAACGAGTTCTTGACACTCCAAAAGTAATTAATTCCACTATTTTCGAAGGCCTTATTTGAACAATTTATTATCAGGTTTTTGATTGTACCAAGTGTATGTTCTTGTCATAATATGCATGTGATATTTTCCACTGGACGTTAAACACCAAATCATCGTCATCATAATATCCCTTCCTCTTTTTAATAATTTCTACAGTGCATCGACTTATTTTTTTTCAAGTAAATGTTTTTTCTTTATGAAGTCGAGTTATGTTTTTATTAGGCCAATACAACTTAATGTTTCGTTTCTCACCAATTTTTAAAGGAGATGGGTATGAGGAAAATAAACAAAAATGAATTAAATAACAAAAGCAAACTTGATGAAATAGAAATACGTACAAGAAGTCGTTTTGTTTCGTTTTAATCTTTGATTTACTTTGAAACAATTTTTTAAGCGTTCAACCTCGATACACTCTATATAAAGAAACGATAAGCGTTGACAGGAGTTTAGAACACATTCTATTCAGCAGTAAAACCCATGCTAAAACGGGGCGTCCGTTTTGCTGTGTAGGATGCAAAAATACGAATACATGTATAATCGAAATAGGGACGTTAATTCAGATGGCTTGCGTTGGTAGATTGCCATCTTCTCCGTAACTTTAACAGAGAACCTTTAACAGCTCTTAAAGGTGCCCGTAAGTGACCTATTGCAAGGCAACATTTTTGCCCTTATCCATCATATCCC